CCAAGTAGGTATGACAATTTCCTTGCCAGCGTACCCCATGTTGCTGACATGTTGCAGTGACATTGAATGTAAGTAACCTTGCTCAAGGACCAAGGCAGATTAGGGTGTTCCCGGTTTTAAGATAATCTTGTTTAGGGCGTTCCCAGTTTAGGTTCCAGGTTTAAGGTTTAAGATTATTCCTGCTGGGAATAGGGCGTATCCTGCTGCCTGAGTTCCCCTTGAGTTCTCACGGGATTCAGACAGTATATTTTGGGAGACAGAAGCCCAGTGGAGGTGGATTTGGGCAGAGAACGTGGATTTGGGCAGAGAACGTGGATTTCCCCAGAACGTGATTGTAGACGGCTGGTGTGAGTTCGGGAATAAAGAGTTGCTGTTTGAATCTACAAGCTGTGTGGTGGCTCGTGATTGTGTGCCCAGCCAGACTGTGGCAGGCATCCCAGTAAAATCAAGAGCAGTCAGGGCATACGTTGATACAATACAAAAATGTAGCCCATGGCTTTTTTTTTTTAATTTAATTTTTTTTTAATATTTATTTTTTAGTTTTCGGTGGACACAACATCTTTATTTTTTTATTTTTATGTGGTGTTGAGGATCAAACCCAGCGCTCCGCGCATGCCAGGTGAGCGTGCTACCGTCTGAGCCACATCCCCAGCCCCTAGCCCATGGCTTTTTAAGGAGGAGTTGTTAAATATATCACAATGGGACCTTCATGGTGAAGATTTAAGGGAAAAGGAAAAGAAAAACCCAGGAATTCTGTCAGTTGGCACATTGCCATTGTGGGCGTTGGTATCTTGGTTACTTAGCCCAAAGCCTTCAGTTCAGACAATGGTAGAGGAAGGAGAAGACATATGGATTCAAGTAAAAGAGAAGGTCTCTCAAACTAGTCAGACAGAGGAAGAAAGTTTAGAAGAAAAAGCCATCAGGGGAAAAGTTACAACAGGAGACTGCTACTAACACCTTTCTATCACCAGAGGGTGTAAGTGTCCAACCAACAGCGCCACCTCCATATGCTGGGAGGCCCCCAACCCCGGTAATTGATAGATGGGATCCTGAGACAGGACCTCAAATATTAACATGCCCTGTATTTGAGCAGGCAGGAGGGCAGTGAATTCACCATGCTTTAAATTTCAAAACAGTGAAGCAGCTAAAAGAGGCTGTACCAACCTATGGTCCTCAAGCACCCTTCACTGTAAGCATGATCAAATCCATTACCAACTTGAACATGACGCCAGCAGATTGGGCTAGTATGTGTAAAGCTGTGCTAAATGGAGGACAATACCTGTTATGGAAGGTTGCCAATGAGGAATTTTGCAAGGAGACGGCTAGGAGAAATGCAGCAGCTGGTTATCCTCAGAGAAATCTAGATATGTTGTTAGGAAAGGGACCTTATGAGGGTCAGCAGCAACAAATTGTATATGATCCTGCCATATACTCACAAATTGCTGCAGATGCGGTTAGGGCATGGAAGACTTTACAAGGACATGGAGGTTTACAAGGTCAATTATCTAAGGTAATACAAGGAGCTAATGAACCTTATGCTGAATTTGTAGATAGGCTTATTCAAACAGCTACCAGAGTTTTTGGGAATACAGAACAAGCAATGCCATTAATAAAACAACTGGCTTATGAGCAAGTGAATCGTTGGTGCAGAGAAGTCATTAGACCATGGAAACATGACTATTTAAACACATAAATTATGTAGAGACATTAATGAACAAGGGCAAGTCTTGGCAGCTGCAGTAAAACAGGTTTTAGATGCCAGGCCAAAAACATGCTACAATTGTGAACAAACAGGACATTTTAAAAGGAGTTGCCCCATAGGAGGAGGGTTTAACAAAACTAGGTATCAAAGGAGTAGAATACCGGGTATTTGCCCATGATGCCATAGAGGGAGACACTGGGCTAATGAATGCCGTTCTCAAACCACCATAGAGGGTACTCCATTATCAAAAAACAAACAAGGACCAGGTGTCTATCCACGATGTCATGGAGAAAAGCATCGGGCTCCATTGCCAAAAAATGGACAGGGGGGCCCAATGCTCTGGGGCCCAAGACCACAAATATACAGAACACTGGAGGAAGCCAGCAACCCCATCAGGGTAGTGCCCAGGACACATTGTCCATTAGATCCCTCACTAGACAAACCAGAGGAAGCACAGGATTGGACATCTGCGCCTCCGCCAGAGCAGTGCTAACTCCAGAGATGGGAGTTCAAATTGTTCCCACAGGGGTAAAAGGACCTCTTCCCCAAGGAACAGTAGGCTTATTATTGGGACACAGTTCTTCTACTCTAAAAGGACTTATGATAAGTCCTGGGGTAATTGATCCCAATTATGAAGGTGAAATAAAAATTATAGCCAGTTCTCCAAAGGGTATATCAGTAATTTCACCAGGAGATAGAATAGCACAGTTACTAATAATACCCAGCCTGCATGATAAATTTTCCAGTAGTACTGTAGAAAGAGGTTCCAAGGGATTAGGCTCCACAGGTGTAGATTGGGCTATGCTTTCTTTAAATTTAGATTCTCGCCCCATGGTAAAACTAAATATTCAAGGACATGAATTTAATGGGCTACTGGACACAGGTGCAGACCTTAGCATCATCTCTCGTCAAGAATGGCCAAAACATTGGCCATTACAACATGCCACTCAAACGCTTCGAGGCCTAGGAGTGGCGACTAATCCCCATAGAAGTGCAATGGTATTAGATTGGAAGGATCCTGAAGGATGTGAAGGAACTATACAGCCATATGTATTGGATCATCTTCCTGTAAATTTATGGGGACGAGATGTCCTAGATCAATTAGGACTAACATTAACAAATAACATCGATTCAAATGCTCCCACTATTATGGCTAGACAAGGTTTTAGGAAAAAAAAAGATTAGGAGAACAAGAACAAGGTATAGCAGCACCAATTCAAATAGATCAAGGAACAGACAGACATGGGTTGGATTTTCAGAAAGGGCCACTGAGACAATAAAAATTACTTGGAAATCAGAAAGACCAGTATGGGTTCCTCAGTGGCCCCTGACTAAAGAAAAGATACAAGCAGCCCATGACCTGGTCAAACAACAATTAGCAAAGGGACATATACAAGCTTCCGTATCTCCCCATAATACTCCCATTTTGTCATTAAAAAGAAATCTGGTAAATGGAGATTATTGCAAGATTTAAGAGCCATTAATAATGAGATGGTTATTATGGGACCTGCTCAATCAGGGATTCCTCAATTGTCTGCTTTGCCAAAAACCTGGTATTTTTTAGTTATAGATATTAAAGATTGTTTTTTTTTTTCAATTCCAATTCATCCTGAGGATAGTCCACGTTTTGCATGTACTATCCCTGCACTGAATCATGAAGGTCCTGATCAGAGATATGAATGGAAAGTACTCCCTCAAGGGATGGCTAACAGCCCAACTATGTGTCAAATCTATGTTAACAAAGCAATCCAGCCACTTAGAAATCAAAATCCTGAACTACAAATATTTCACTATATCGATGTTGTATTATTAGCACACAAAGATAAAAACACATTGCTAGAATGTTATGCCACACTTACAAAGTTATTAAAAATTATAATCTAGAGAGAGGAATAGATAAAGTACAATTAAATTTTCCAATTAATTATTTAGGAGTTCTATTATCCTCCACCATGGTCCATCCACCAAAAATTCAAATACCTAGTGGCCTCCCTGAGTTTCAGCCTGGCTTTGGCCCCAGCCCTTTTGGAAAAGGAGTGTTTGTGCTGTCATTCCCTGTTGAAAGCATGTCACTTGCTTTGAGATTTTTAAATGGGCTTACAGCTAAGAGTTGCCTTGAGTCTTGGAGGAGACTTTGGACTTGAACTTCAGCAACCCAGGGACTGCAAAGACTAGGGGACTCTTGGAGAGGGACTGAGTGCATCTTTCATTGTGGGATAGGTGTGGGCCTTTGGGGCAGGGGTGGAATGTTAGGCTCTGAATCTGGGATGTCCCGCAGGGTTTCATGGGTCCAGAGGTGGGACCTCTGGGAAGTCCTTAGATCCTAAGGGCTCTGGCCTCCTCGGTGGATTCATCCCTTCAGGTTGGTGGACTGCTGGGGGTCAGGACTAGCTGGAGGAAGTGCCGCTGGGGTTGTGCTGGAAGGGCTCCTCCTCCCTGTGGCCCTTCCTCTCTCTTCTTCACTAAGCCAGCCGCTGAGACTCGGAAGCCACAAGTCAAAATAATCCTCTCCTCCTCTCAGTCATCCCTGTCAGGAATCTTGGTCACATCAGTGAAAAGCTGAATGACACACCCGCTGGCTCTTCCCAGGCCGAGCCCCAGGTCCCCTTCTGACTCTCAGCAGGGTTCCTCAAGGTCTGTCTCTCCTTCCCCCGTCTCTGGCCCTCCAGGGACCTGGGTTCTCAGCACACATCAGTGTGATAGCCACGGCTCTTGGGTCAAGTGAGCAGAAATGTCTCCGACTCACTTCCTGGACCTCACCACAGGTTGAACCTTTGTCCCCAGATGTCCCAGCTGTGCAACCTCCGCCCCTGGGCCTGGCCCTGCGCCTGGTCTCCTCGCCATGGTGAAGTCACTTGAATTGGGTGCCCTGATGACCCAGGTCCTTTGCAGAGCTGCTCAGTGGCACCAGTATCCCACTCCCCCTGCTGCCTTGGTTTCCAGATCACAGAAGGCCCAAGACCTGGAAGCAGGTGCTACGTGGCCCTTGCCTTGCTGACCCTGGCCCTGACATGCCCCATGGTGGGCATGGTCTAGTTGGCTCCAGGAGCCAGTGGACTCAAGGGGGAATGGTGATTGGAACTAGCAGAAGAACTTGGAGGAGGATCGAGGTGTGGCGATAGGGGCTTTCATTGATTAGTTAATTAAGTGAAGAACACCATGGAAACAGAGTGGGTGACAGACTTTATTTCAGGACATCAAGGGTACATGCCTCCACAGAGGAATCAGAGAAGTTGGCCAGAGAGGGAGGGCCCAGAGGAGCCAGCCTGGGCTGGGCCACTGTCAGTGGACAAGGTGCTCACAGCTTGGGGGTGCCCAGGCTGTGGGGACTCCACTGTGTGCTGCATGTCCAGATGAAGCCAGAGGCCATGAGGGGCAGTGACTCAGAGGCTGGAGAATGTGGGTGAGGGATGAGAGGCATGATTCCCTGGGCATTGGAAGAGGGACCTAGCCCCACGAGTGAGTGGTGTCCTTCCCTGGAGACCTGGGTCCTCCTTGGTCTGCAGATGCAGCTTCCAACAACTGGAAGATAAGAGCCAGGGGTGAGCCCCAGGGGCCTGGGGTGCAGCTCCTGCCCCTGTCTGGAGACTGAGGGTGCGCAGGGGCAACTGGAGTTCTGTGTCCAGAACCTCAGACCTTGCACTGACAGCAAATAGGGGCACAGCAGCTGGACTGGCAGCAGGAGGACCCACAGCCTGAGGAGCAGCAGGGCTTGCAGCAGCTGGACTGGCAGCAGCAGGGCTTGCAGCAGCTAGACTGGCAGCAGCTGTCCTGGCAGCAGCAGGGCTTGCAGCAGCTGGGCTTACAACAGCTGGACTGGCAGCAGCAGGGCTTGCAGCAGCTGGACTTGCAACAGCTGTCCTGGCAGCAGCAGGGCTTGCAGCAGCTGGACTGGCAGCAGCAGGGCTTGCAGCAGCTGTCCTGGCAGCAACAGGGCTTGCAGCAGCTGGACTGGCAGCAGGAGGACCCACAGCCTGAGGAGCAACAGGGTTTGCAGCAGCTGGATTGACAGCAGCTGGACTTGCAGCCCCCGCAGGAGCCACAGCCCCCCTTGCAGCCCCCACAGGAGCCACAGCCCCCCTTGCAGCCCCCACAGGAGCCACAGCCCCCCTTACAACCCCCACAGGAGCCACAGCCCCCCTTGCAGCCCCCACAGGATCCACAGCCCCCCTTGCAGCCCCCACAGGAGCCACAGCCCCCCTTGCAGCCCCCACAGGAGCCACAGCCCCCCTTGCAGCCCCCACAGGAGCCACAGCCCCCCTTGCAGCCCCCACAGGATCCACAGCCCCCCTTGCAGCCCCCACAGGAGCCACAGCCCCCCTTGCAGCCCCCACAGGAGCCACAGCCCCCCTTGCAGCCCCCACAGGAGCCACAACTGGAGCAGGAACAGGCTGGCACACAGCAGCACACGGGCTTGCAGCAGCTGGAGCCACAGCCCCCACAGCTGGAGCCACAGCCCCCACAGCTGGAGCCACAGCCCCCGGAGCAGCCACAGCAGGTCATGGTTCTGGAGGTGGAGGGTGGAGGAGGTGAGAGCAGCAGGTGGAGGGAGGAGTGAGGTGTGGGACCTCCTGAGCCAGGGGTTTATGTACCTGCCGGGGGTCAGGTGAGGCTGGACACATGGCTGCTTCCCGGTGGCTGTTTGTGCTGTCTGCAGTGGATGAGCCTTGCCTGTCCCCCTTGGCTCTGTTGATGTTCTCTGCAGGGAGATGCGGGTTTCCCCCACGCCATCATTTCCTTGTGGAATTCACAAGGGAAGGAAAAATAGCTTCCCCTGCCTCACTGCAGGGGCATGTGACCAACCTGGCTCTTCCTCTTCTTTTATTGTTGGGACACCCCCAGGCCCCACAACTCCGCTGCCTCCTCTGCAGATGGAGCCAGAGCACCAGCCTGCGAGGGTGGCCTGAGTTTGCTTGAGATCCTTTGCACAGGTGGCCTGTCAAGTCTTCTCTGGAGCCCCCCTGCAGGTCTGTATGCAGGGTCAGATGTGAGACTTCCTTTCCCTACGGGCCTCTGGCTGTCAGGTGACCCCATGTTCAGGCTTCCCAGAGCAGTGCCACCTGTGCCTGTCGCCTGCTGCTCCCCAGGGGAGTGCAGTCTTCCTGCATGGTGTCTGCAACCAGGCGGGAGGCTCAGCTCTGGGGCTGGGGAGATTACTTCCTCCTCCCCAGCCCTGGGAGTTCATGCCGCAGGAGCCCTGGGGCATGCGAGGACATCTGCTAGTGGGTTGGGGTCTTCTGAGAAACTGAGGCAGTGTGAAGCCCCCCTCCAAGCCCTGATGCTTGCAATCAGTTCAGAAGGATTTCAGACATGTCGCTCAGAGTAACAGGAAGGAGTTGTTGACGGATAGGAAAAGGGGAAGGGGACACTCTCAAGGCAGGGAGTGGGTCTTCTCAGGGAGGACAGGACAGCAAGCCTCTCCTGCTCTTCAGTTTTACTGAGGTCCCAGAGAAGTTTCCAAGAGTCCTGCCTATGTCCACCCTTGACTTTTGACTGACAGCTGGATGACACTACACTTTTTTGCTGACTGGTTCTCATTGAATTCTTGACCATCAATTCTTAGTCTGTGGTGGGGAGAAACCGTCCTCATCTCCCCGAACTCCAGGATGTGCTCTGTGCAAGGTTCGCAGAGTTCTCCCCCTTCAGGGTGACTTGGGTTCCTCTGATGGGCGATATTAGGGGCCTGATTTCTCCTGCAGATGGCAGTTTGCTGGCGACATATCCTGCTGATTTAAGCCAGGCAAGGCCACAGGGCACTTGCTTTTTAAAGGAGAACCCAGTGGGTCAGCAGGACGGCCTGGTCTCCAGAGTCCTTCCCTGGGCCTCTGGTTCCCACTGCTCACGCCTGCCTTCCCCAACACATCCTTCTCCTGCCGGAGGCCATGGCCCATCTCTTGGAGGAAAGCCAAGCTTGGCGCAGCCCCGGGAGGCTGGTGGGACCTGATAGGTGCTGGGAATGGACAGGAACCCGGCCAGGAGGCAGGGTGGGAGAGGGGTGCAGGCTGGAGACCCGCCACTCCTGGTCCAACTCCAAGGAAGCCCCGCTCAGGCCACCAGCCTGGACCCACTCTGCACGGCTGAAAGCCGGTGTCCTTCCTGCTGGCACCGACCCTTCCTGCAGCGGTCACTGTGCCCAGGGAAAGGTCCAGAAGGCCCGCACCCAGGGCTCCCAACGCCCAGGGTCTTTGTCTCTCCCAGCAAGCCCTCTGTCACACTAAGAGCAACCTGGGGAGGGTGGTGTAGGGTGACCCAGAAGGACCAGGGCACGGGGGCGTCTCAGCCCCACCCACCACCTCCACCTCCCCAAAGCCGGAGACTGGAGATGGAAACTCTGTGAAAACCCTGGTGTCAGGGGACTCCGTGAGCCTGGTGTTGGTGAACACATCCTCGGCCAGCAGGGGCTCACGCCCAACTCCACAGGATAGCCCTGTGCTGGGGACCCCTCCGGATCCCCCCTGTGTGCCTCTTCATCTGCGTCCATCTGTGCCCCTTGTGACAACCTTTATAGTAAGTTCCAGGGCCTTCCAAACGTTACTGAACCCCAGTGGGAGTCCCTGTCCCCAGCCCGTCTGTCAGGAGTAGGGGGATGGCAGCTGGCATCTCAGTGGGGCCGTCACCCATGGTCGGCTACCTCGGGTGGACTAATGAGTTGCAGGGCAGCGCTGGCTTCGAGGGAGAGCCGCCTGCTCTGGTGTCAGAAGTGCTGTGTGAGGTGCAGAGAGACAGTCCCCTCAGTTCCTGACCATAGCAGGCGACACAGTGGTCCACCTGGGGGCAGCCCCAGGAGCCTTGCCCCAGAGGAGGGGCCTCACCTGCAGGACACAGGCCTCAAGGATGCGGTCACCTGGCCTCTCAGGGACACTAAGCCTGCGTTCCCAGGGGTCTTCAGTGCCCACGGTGGCCTCGGAGCCAGGTGCACACCCAGGCCTTCCTGGAGTGGCCCTCCACACGGCACCTTTCCTGAGAGCTGGGCCCGGCCCCTGAAGGATGAAGTGAGCCAGGTGCCTGCATTCCTGCCGGCAGGTTCCCGCCCTCTGCTTTGCTGCAGCAGACCCTGCTGACCCTGCCAGGAGCCCTCTCTCTCACTGCCCACGTCCTGGGACGACTCCCTTTCTCTTGGTCTTCAGTTCCCTGGTTGGTTGGCTGGTGAAGGGTCTGGCTCTGTTGCCTCTGGGGCTCCGACTCCTGGGCTCCAGCCTCCTGCCTCAGCCTCCAGGAGTAGCGGGGTCTGCAGCTGCCACCCCTAGCCTCCCGTGACATCCCAGGCTCTGAAGTTCCCTCCAATGACGTCTGCTTCCCACACGACTCTCTGGTTTTGATACAGAATCTGTTCTAAGCATGGTCTGACTGCCACTATTGACTTTCCCATCTCGTATCCGTGTGCTCCCGACTTTCCATGAACGAGGGGCCTTTCAGTCATGTCTACGTCACTGGTTTTCAAAGATCATGGCACATCTGGAGAATAGAATCGAGTGATATTTTTTCTGTGAATTTATTGAGACTAGTTTTATAAGTGGGTAGCGATACAGTCGTCCCACATGGGCTCCGAAAGATCCACGCTCCACTCACCGGGTGCCAGTCTGTCCACGCGCAGAGCAGGTGACCTCTGTGTGGTGGAACCTCCCGTGACCTCCTGCTGTCTAGTAGCCAAGAGAGGTGTGGGGCACACCCCGCCCCCGGCTCCTGGCTCCCCGCTTCCCCTCCCCGGGTCAGCCTCCCCGTGAAGCCCAGCCAGCGGCCCTTCCCACCCTTCCTCCCCCTTCCCCCCCTTCCCGCGGGGCTTCCTCTCTTCAGAGGACTCTGTGATCTCATGATCCACATTGCCTGCCGTCTGTCACCCTGTGGACGTGGCCCTGTGACGCTCTGCTGGTTTCCCTCACTGCCGTGTCTGGGTGCACGGCACGGTGGCCCGCACCAGGGAGGACGGATCCTCATGGTTATGACCCTGAGCCAGGGTGGGCTTTTGGATGAACCTTGCCGAGGGCTCATCGATCAGAGTACTGGCGCCTTCTGTGATGGGGTGTCTCCCACGTGTGCCTGGCCACCCCCAGCACCCCCTGAGAGGGCGGTGAGGTACCCGGGCCTGCTCTGCATCAGCTTCAGCAGCTCCTCACGCCACTCGGGTCCCACGGAATCATCGGTGATTTATCCACAGCTGTTTATTAACATCCATCAGTTCTCTTTCACCTGGCCTGAACATGTCCGTGACTTTTCAGGGGGAGAAAGTCTGCATTTCTCGTTCATGTGCTTGGTGGTCTGTGTCTTCCTGCTCCGTTTCTTCCCATCTCAAGAGGGCATGTTTTGCCTTCTGGGCCTGATGATCCCAGTACCAGAGCCTTTGTCTGGATGGTTCTCCTGTCTGTGGCCTCTGCTGGCTCTCACCATCTGTGTGTGTGTGTGTGCGCGTGCCTGTGTGTGTGTGTGTGTGTGTGTGTGTTGTGATTTGGACTCACGGCCTTGGAGTTTCATCCTGTCACAGAGTGGGTTTCTCGAGAGGGGACGTGGTTCCTCTTTGTGCACCAGGACCTCACCAAGCCCGGCTGGCTTTACTGGACTTTCAAGGCAAGCTTCTCGGGCCACCAAGGGAGCGGCACTCAGCCAGGCCCGGTGACTTCCCCACCACCCCACCCAGGCTGATTCCAGGGTTCCCTGTGTCCCAGGCGTAGGCTGCTTCCCGCCCACGTGTGTTCTGTGCTTCCTGGGCTGGGGGCTCTGGGACTCCTTCCCTCTGACTGCTCAGGGACTTTGGAACCATCAGTTTTTAATTCAGCACTGTAGGTGTTCCTGGCAGGAGAGTCACGCATGGAGTCTCATCAGTCTTACCTGCCAACACGCAGGCCCAGAGAAGGCCTTCCACTGCTTTGCACTGTCCTGTCGACAGCCCTGCTCTGCGGTGGCCGACGGGGGCTGCGCCCAGGCCTGCAGCCCACCTCCTCCGCAGGCCTCCCCGTGAGCCACGGTGTTTGAGGGGCTGTCCCACAGGAGCTGCTCTCGGACCCTGCTCCTCCTGGGCTGCCCTGCCCCAACCAGCGCAAGGCCTTGAAAGCTCTGGCCCTCTGACTTCTGCTGGCTGTGGTGGCCCCGACTCCTCCAGACGGCAGACCTGGTTCTAGGCTCCGCGGCTTGTTGTTTGCAGGGTGCAGCTGCTGCAGACTCAAGGCCCTGAAGCCGCAGACACTCTATGGGGTCAGCGATGGCTCCTGAGAAGGGCTGTGTGGGCCGGACCTGGGGAGACTGCGAGAGGCCAGAGGAGAGAGTGCCGGTGCCAACTCTCTGTGTGAGTTTTTAAGCTCAGTGATCTTAAGCCTCTCTCTTTTACACTAGCAGATGTGTTTAAGGCCATAGAATTTCCCCTAAGCACTGATTTGGCTTCATTCAGTGAATTTGTTAGACTCGATATTACATTAAAGGTTCAAAATGGTGAGTTTCTGATTTCATGATTTCTTCTTCCTCTATAAACAAACACTTCCTCTCATTTTTGGTTATCATGAAATAGAGTTGGTATATCAAAGATCAGATAAATGCTAATTCTTTTCTTGTACTGATT